GTGCATTTCCAAAGTTCTAAAGGCAAGTGGGGTTGACTGCCTGCAGTAATATAGTTGCACAAGCTTTATAGCCTTTGCTACTATTAATCAAAGGATCTGGACTAAATATCCTGCTGTGAGGCTCTTCTTCTTTAAATGGGTCTCCTAAATCACAGCTGCAGTGCATTGCTTTAATTTTTATAGTCAGACAAAGCTGGCAATTGTCATTCATGCCTCCGTGGCCTTCTGGTGCACTTTCCCTAGTATTCTTCGAAGAAAATGATTCACAGAAACTGCAGCAATTGCAAAAAAAACTGGTTGCACTCAGTTCCTCCACCCCATTGTGGATTTGTTACAAATTTGTTCCTTTGTTTCAGAATCTACAACAGGTTATTATCACCTTCTCTTCCTCCCAGAAAGGAGTTTGTGAACAATGTGTTGCATACTGACAATATATTGCAGAAAACAAGAAGTCGGCTAAGAAGCCACCTCACAATAGGTGGAAAGGCTGTTAACTTTGCCTGTTGATAGCTAGAGATCCCTACTAACATGGGTGCAATGGGAGAGCTGGGGTACTTGCAGCTATTGGAATAAGGCCTAGTAGTGAAATCTGTCAGTTCTTTACTGCCATTGTTCATACTTGTACTGTAATGATGTTCGTGTTAAGAATTGAGGGTTCAGAAAGGAACTTCTCCAGTTTGAAAAATCTCTCTGAGATCTTAGCCTGGTTTGTAATAGGCTATACCTAGTGACAAGGTTCCCTATGGACCACTGACTCTATGATTCCTAACTGAAAAAGTGAAGCAGCTGCAGGGGTTCACTGTGAACCCACATTTGGGATGTGAATCCTTGCTTATCTCATTTCTATTTGTGAAAACAAGAAACTGCCTCCCTCAACCTACAAGTTGTAAAAGATTGAGATATTTTGTGTTGTTCTCAAGAATGTTTGCACTTGCGAGACCAGCTTTTCTGCAAATAATATGATATTCAATTCTTTAAAAAATCTTCCTGTTTATGAATGTGGGATAGTATGCTTCTCCATCCACAATTTGAAACACCAGGAAATGCCCAATATTCAATTCTTTAAAAAAAACTTCCTGTTTATGAATGTGGGATATTGTGCTTCTCTATCCACAATTTGAAACACCAGGAAATGCCCCAATATTGCTGTGCAATTTTGTGTCCGCACTACTGGCAGGAAAAAAAGTTTCCAAGCTTGACATTAAAAGGGTCAGCCTGAATGTTCATGACACCAATGTGAGCAGTCAAGATGGTCTAACAAGATACCCTCTTGGGCTCACTACCCTTCACAAAGAAAAAAACAAGCAAGGGAAAATATCAGAACATGATTCTTTTTTTAAATCAGGTCCCAACATGCCAGTTGAATAGCTGGGTTGCAGGAGGAGATACTGTTATCCCAACAATCCTGTTAGCAATGAAGAGACAATAGTTGCAGTCAGGATCGCTAGCAAGTGAGAGACATGAAAGTCTATCTGAGTCACAGCAAATTGTGTGCCAAGATTTCTCTGGTAGTAGTAATAGCTGGGAAACAGTGGTCTAGTGAAGGCCACTGGGGGAGACAGTGGCTTTCACTTCCACCTCTATTAGTCCCTAGGTCTCCACAGACTTGCATGTTGACAGGTATGTGTGTTGATAGGTGTGTATGTATCTGTGTTTGTCAAGTGTGTTCACATATATGTGCTGAGCTGGGAGTTACAAGAATGTGTGTATGTGTGCACATGTACATGTGCATATGCAGAACCCCATCCCCTTAGTTAACACTAGATGTGGCTCTAAAGGTGGGAAAGGTTCCAGGTTGTGGCAACCTGTGGTCTAACAGAGGGAAAGGAGTTATAGGTGTGTATGTATCTGTGTTTGTCAAGTGTGTTCACATATATGTGCTGAGCTGGGAGTTACAAGAATGTGTGTATGTGTGCACATGTACATGTGCATATGCAGAACCCCATCCCCTTAGTTAACACTAGATGTGGCTCTAAAGGTGGGAAAGGTTCCAGGTTGTGGCAACCTGTGGTCTAACAGAGGGAAAGGAGTTAGGAATAATCATATGAGATTGTTGCCACAGCATTCCAGGTTGTGGCAGCCTGTGGTCTAACAGAGGGAAAGGAGTTAGGAATAATCAATCAAAGCTTATTCCACACTAGTGAAATGAGGGACATACATGCATAGACACACACTCATACTGTTCAGACAATATATTGTTGCTGGTTTGAGATATTTTGGAAGGCCTGTTGTGAGGCTTGCTAGTCTTGCAACAGGTCAGGGTGGGAGGAAAGAAAAAAGAGCACACAAACAGGAAGGGGTAAGTCAAAAGATGCCTCTAGTCTCATTATGTTCTAGATCAGGGGTCTCCAAGCACGAGGGCCACATCAGATATATTACAAATTTTTGAGGCCCAAAGGAATGGAACCATGCACACATGTGTGGGCTGAAAAGAAAGGACTTGAGCCTGTGGACCTGAGCGTGCAGCGTTCGCCAGGCTGGATAAAAAGGCAAGGCATGGCAGATGTGACCCACAGGCCATAGTTTGGAGTGGGCTAGAAACAAATCAAGCCAAGCACAATTCATTTGTGGCAAGCCTGAACTAAAATAAAGGTATGAGTTTGTTCCTGGGTAGGTAGGACTCGTTAGCCTGGGAAGGCAACCCATCTAGGAGAAGGAAAACTCTGATCCCAAAACCCCACACCATGAGGAGAAGGAGACACTGCCATCACCCATGTGGCAAGGGAGCAGCCCTAATTACGGTAATTTGGACATGATGCTACTTTAACTCTCAATGTTGTTAGAAGTTAGCTCGAGTTTAATTTGTTTTGGGCTAGAAACAAACCAAGCCAAGCATAACTCATTTGTGGCAAGCCTGAACTAAAATAAAGGTATGAGTTTGTTCCCGGGTAGGTAGGACCCGTTAGCCTGGGAAGGCAACCCATCTAGGAGAAGCAAAACTCTGATCCCAGACCCCCACACCATGAGGAGAAGGAGACACCACTATCACCCATGTGGCAAGGGAGCAGCCCGGGTAGGTGGGACTTGTTAGCCTGGGAAGGTAGCCCATCTAGGAGAAGGAAAACTCTGATTTCAAACCTTCACTGCCTTGTGGATATATCCACTGATGGAAAAGGCTTCAGGGAGCACAATACCACAGTCTCTTCAGACTGAAGGATGCCTATGAATTGTTCATTTCCTTTGAAGCAAAACTGAGACAAAACTGCTCTATATATTCCATATCCCTTTAAAAAAAAGAATTATCCTTGCCTGTCACTTGCCTCAGCTTGCAAGTGCTCTCATTTGTTTTGAATTATTTAATCAAACCTGATGTGTAAGGTTTAAAAAATTAACTTCTTGTATTATTTATTTATTTTCCTCCATACAGAGCACGCTACCACAGTCTCTTGAGACTGAAGCATGCCTATGAATTGTTCATTTCCTTCGAAGCAAAACTGAGACAAAACTGCTCTATATATTCCATATCCCTTTAAAAAAAAGAATTATCCTTGCCTGTCACTTGCCTCAGCTTGCAAGTGCTCTCATTTGTTTTGAATTATTTAATCAAACCTGATGTGTAAGGTTTAAAAAATTAACTTCTTGTATTATTTATTTATTTCTTTATTTAACTTTTATGCTGCCCACTCTCCCCAAAGGTCTCTGGGTGGCTTACAACAATTAAAATACAATAAAAATAATACAATTAAAATAGATATTCTAAAAATTGCCATCAGGACCCATAGCTGATGTTATTTCAATTAAAAGCCTTCTGGAACAGGAAGGTTTTGACCTGGAACCGAAATGTCATCAGCCCATGTAGAGCGCATTGCAATAATCTATACAAGATGTTACCAGTGCGTGTGTAATTGTCATGAGACTCCGCTCGTCCAGGTAGGGCTGTAGCTGGTAAATGTCCACAGTTGAAGGAAGGTGCCCCTGGTCACCAAGTCCACCTGGGCTTCCAGAGTTAGACTGGGGTCCAGGAGCACCCCCAGGCTGCAGACCTTGTCTCTTAGGGGGAGTGTAAACCCATTCAGGGCAGGAAAATGGTACTCAAACCTGTCTGGTGAAGCACCCACAGCCTGGGAGTCCTCAACACCACGTTAGAGACTACATCCGTCAGCTCAGGCAGGGAGGCTCTTGGTACGCAGCAGGGTGGGAGGTGCACTAACAGAATCCCCAATCTGTCTCATAAGCCCAACACATAATACAGACCCTCAAGACCACCTCTCAAAGGGATAGGAAGCCTGGTCAAGGAGCCAGAACTCCTATAGACTATAGCAGCTCCCCTCCCTGAACCTATGAATGACATTGGTGCTGGACCGAGTACCCAGGTGGATACAGCTGGGAGAGGGGAACACCACCCTCCTCTCCCACCCAGGTCTCAGTAATGCATGCCAGGTCAGCACCCTCATCCAGAATTACATCATAGACGAGGGCAGTCTTATTTTGTATTTCATCAACAGCACTGTGTGGCTCAAGGGTGTGCTGATATGGTCACCTGATACCATCTGGTTGGGGGTAGGACTAGAAGAGGGGATAGATGTAAGATACCTAACCTATCTTCTCCTATGTGGGCATGTTCTACCCCCACCACCATTCCTTCCCCTACCCAGCACCACCTCAATGGCTGCCCCCTCCAACACCCTCCCCCCTTCCTGTTCCGTCAGATCCACTGTGGGTCTCTATGCAATGTGATGGCAATTAATAATAACAATTAAAAACAACAACACACCCTTCTGAAGCCCCTTCTCCCCTCAGAGCCAGGTGGCTGGTGTTGAGGATGGGGTAGGGCAGCCTGAAGCAGCAAGGGCCCAGTCCTGCAAGACCAAGGGAGTCCAGTCCAAAACTCCCCCAGGACACTGTCTCTCACCCAGTTCCTGAGGGATGGCAGATAACACAGAAGACTCCCCCAAAGGCAGGAATCCTGGTCCAGCAGGGCCCTGGCACAGGCTTCTGGCTTATTATGATGATGTAAGATACACCACTGTGACATCTTCTCTTACTGAGAGTTCTCCACCCATGTAACTAATTGATGCAGAGGAAGCAGAAACAATTAACAGAAAATGGTATGGAAATAGTAACAGCCAGAGCTTAGGAATTATTCCCCCTTCCCCCTAAAAAATCTGTTAACTGTTATACAGGTAAGGCTCCCAAAAGCACCACTGTATCTGCCATTTTAAAAAGTAATAGATAATTCTTTCTCAGTTATGTAATAAACATCAGAATGTTCCAATCTACAGCCTCTGGTACAAACGATCCTCTCTTTACATTTACCTTGTTATACCTCAAAAATGACAAGAAAGCACAAGGTGGAAGCACAAGCCAGCATTTAAACTATGTGATGCTCCACTTCCATCATTTAACAAGGCATATCTTATAACAATTTTTTTTAAAAAAACAAATGTTCAGAGAGTGATGTTTTTTCTTCTTAAGTGACATAATACAATATAGTTACTAGGAAAAGGAATTATTTATCAGTAAGTATTTATGCTGTCTGGATAACTCAGTAGTTTAGGTATCTGGCTGTGGAGTCAGTGGTTGGGAGTTTGATTCCCCACCAGGCCTCCAGAGAAAAGAGCCAGCCCATGTAACCTTAGGCAAGCTGCAATCCCAGAAGTAGCTCCAGGAGAAAGGAATAGTAATCCACTTCTGAGTACCTCTATCTAGAAAACCTAGAAATGGTCACTGCAAGTCAAAAATTATGTGATGGGACACTGTCACATTCCTGCCTGTCCCTTGATTGATTCACCAAACACAGGGCACAAACTATGCGTCTTTCAGCTGCCACCAGTTGATTACATGAACATTATGTATAATAGAAGCCCAGACCATGTGTCATTTTAAAAAGAATCAAGTAGAAATTGTTTATTACTACAGGTGATGAAGTTACAATCAATGTCTTTAACTCTTAACCAAACATCCCACTTCATCCACCCTTAACCACCAAATGCCTCAATTCCAAAACCTCCCTTCTCAACTCCTCTCACACTCCAATCTCCTCTCCCACTCTTCCTGCAGAGAATCTTATATGTCATGACTCCGCCTCTCCAGCACTCTCATTGGTCCATGCAGATAGCATATGAATATTCATGACCTGGGTGGATGCCACACACACAATTGTTATTTATTATTAATTAGTTACTTATCATTAGTTACTTCCAATCACTTCTAATAGCCAGAGAAAGCAGTGATTCTGGACTTGGGTGAAAATAGTGATTATTCAAGATCTGTGTATATTTCTAGAAGTAGTTTCCACTTTGCAGCGGAGTATATGTTCAGCCCTCCAACAATCCAAGCTGGTGAATATGCAGTATAGCCCTACTTCAAAGCCAGTTCCACAGGCAAATATGCATAGGATTTTTTGCATCAATCTTGCTTTTCACCATTCAAAGATTCTCTCAAGCAATTTTAAAAGCAAGAAACATGTCTGGTCACTTTCAAGATTCTTTGAAGAGCTTTATGCTGCAGTCCTAGTGTACATACTTAGTTGGGAGTGAGTCCCATTTAACTCATGATTATGAATGAATAAGCTTGTCAAGCTGTGATTTCAATCACTCATTCATGGATATGAATTCTACTGGAATTACTGAAGTGTTATATATGTAAAGCAGACCTCAAGTGAGTATCAGAAAGCTGGACCACACACAAATTCTACTGTCCCAAGGTACCCCCAGAAGAAGAGAATGGTAAACCACTTATGAGTTTTCTATACCTAGAAAACCATGAATACGATCACCATTAGTCAGAATTTACTTGGGGACACACAATTATTAATAATATATCATCAGACACTTTGTTGTTGTTTGTTCCAATTTTACCTTTCTATGTTCAGTTTTCTTACATTATAACTGATAAGCATCACAAATGAATTTGTTCCCTCTCATTCTTCACTTGACTAATCTGTAAATTCTGTGGTAGGCAAAAGAAGCCTATAATAAATGACAACTTCTGAGGTTTTTTTTTACAACAATGAAAAACTTGCAGCTACTATCCATTGCTTTTAAGTTATATCTGATAGTAAATATTGGAACCATGAGACCATCTCCATTGGAAAAATGTCCTTTCTCCCTTTCTGTCTTTTTCATTCTTTTCTCCATCTCCCAGGACAGTCTATATAAAAAAATAAGAAGATGAAAACTTTATGGCTGCAGTCAGTTTTTGCCTCTAATAAGTGCACTATCGAATACTCATCTCAAAGAACAGTTACCAAATATTCTCATTATATACCAGCACTAAAGCTGGGAGAAGCAACATAATCACTCACGATCTCTGCCCCTTTCTAATTTAACACAATTTTAAAGGCGGAATTTTAAGCACATCTTTATTTAGTCCCTCAAGCCGCACTGTTCAGTCACACTTCTCAATTACAAACACTGGAAAAAAAGGCAGTTGTTCTTTTTTCACAGGTTGAAGGCTGTGCTGGGTGACCCAATGTGCTTATTATCACAATCCCTGCAGGGTGGCACTTAGCACTGCCAAAAATAGGCCACCCAATTTTTGTTCTGGACTTTATTTCAGGTAGCTAACAGAGCTTCTTCTCTTTTTCTTTCAGCAAAACCATGTAAGATAGATGAGTGCCTGTGTGATGCATTCAGGGGATAATTCCTTCTGGACCCACTATTGGCCACATTCTTGGAAAGCAGAAATAGCCACAAGTCCTGTCATGACAGTGGATTCATCTTTGCCATTATGCAGCAACATACACACTCAGAGAAAGGTAACAGCTGGTGCCTCACAAGGAGTGATCATATGCAGATATAGTTCATGTTTTGGACTGTGAGCTATTTTCTGGCAATCAGATGATTCATGGAAAATTGTGAACCAACCTGAATAGTTTTCTGTATTCAGTTTGGATCTTTTTGGTCTGGCAGTTGGGTTACTCTTTTATGGGACATGAACTGGAGTGAACCCTATTTACACAGAAGGGTGACTTCAAGAGAGAGCACTCCCAGCAAAGCGACCTTTTTCAGCACTATCTGGCATAATCCATTATCGCCATCCAATCACACCCATAGGTATCAGTCAATGGATCCACTGAGGGATTTTTGAATTATGAAGAAAAGCTTCCTTTCTTGCTCTTGGTCCATCCTGTCTTTTCAGCTGACCATGTGGGAGAGCTAAGTCTACGAGAATAGAGAATGAGAGTTGAGTAAATGGCTGGAAGTAGAAGCAGGGTTGTAATGAGTTAGTTTGTGTCAGGGATTTTGCTTCTGTTTGGCTGAGCTGGTTATTCAAAAGTGCCTGCGTGTGCTTTCTTGTTTCTTGTATTACTTCTGTATTTTTAAAAAAGTTTTATGCCCAGAGAGCTGTCTTTGTGATTTTTCTACCTTACATTAACTTTTGTTTTAAATGTGCTGTCACTGTTTTCCTGGCAATGTAATAAAGTGCTGTTCCTTCTCAGATGTAAGCCAACTTGTCCACTGCCAATCTGCTTGGTTCATGTACCAAGGGGTTCCCCAGTTAAGGAAAAAGAAAGTAAGCCTTTAAGTTTGGAACTCCTTTTAATTTTCCTCTGTTTATTGTTCTTCCCAAAGCCAGGGGAAAGACAGACTCCAGGGAAATCCTTCCATATGTTGAGTAAAGAAGGCTTTCTGTCATCTTGACTAGATAAATGAGGGGGAGAACGTAGCCACTAATTCAAGGTGATATAAGAGTAATCTCCTGAGAATGAGCATTACATGTCTACTTTTTCCTTAGTAGTTGTCTCCTGTATTCTGCTGAGCATCGGAAGCACAGGATAAAATCGTGGTATCCTCACTGGTCTGGAAATTGTTTAAAGGGAACACTGCTGTGTCCTAGACCTTTACCCTTAGGGACATCGTTGGTATTTTTAAAAACTTCAGACTTATTTTGCTCATGGGATGGGAATAACTATTAGCACAAATTATGGGTGAGTGAAGCTGTTGGTCACAAGGAAAGGGAATCCCTGAAGACCAGACTTCTGCTACTCCAGGTCTTCTTCATGTCAAAACAGGCCATTCGGAGAGTTCTCAGATTTATCCTGGCCACCAGTTAACACTACGCTTCTTTGGATATGCATGTCCCATAAGTTTCCCTGAAATTTCAAAGGAGCTGTTGTTCTTCTCAGGACAAAATCCAGCCCTGTTACTGTTCGTGTTGCTGCAGTAGCTGAAATCCTGACTGTAGTAAGTTACACTAGAGTAGGCCCACCGGGACAAAATCCAACCCCGTTACTGTTCGTGTTGCAGCAGTAGCTGAAATCCTGCTCCTTACTGTAGTAAGTTACACTAGAGCAGGCCCACCGAATCAGTGGGAATTTCATGAGTCAACTCCTCTGTACATTCCAGTGATTCAAATGGGCTTACTTTCTGTGTTATGCAACTAAATTTCAGCCAGTATGTTGACCATTGGATAGGCCGCAGACTGAGAAAAGGCTGTACCTGGATGGCCATGGATGAAAATTAGCAGGCTATTGAATCTATTTCCAGGGCTGATCCTTCTTTTAATACCATTAACACAATAGCTAGTTTGTAACTCCATCTAACCTTACCATATTTTGTCAACTTATATCCCATCTTCTCAACTTAGAACAGTTTCCCATGATGGCTTACCAATGTATCAAACAATAAAATATAGATTTAAAACTGCAGGAACCAAGCACACTCAAATATTAATAAAACTTATTTCCATCTTTTTGTGGTCTGGAAGACTCACTCACCTTTACATAAAACCTTCTACACAGGACAAGGCTGGGCCTGTGATATCTTCACAGAATTTATTCTGTGAAAAAATATGCTTCTTCCTTCTCCTGGTATTACTGATTAAAAGAGAAAAAGTAAATTGATTTTTTTAAAAAAATGCAGCAGATGCTAGAAATTGTCATTATTTGTACAGATGTATCATCAGAATTAAAGGAATATGTAAATTCCTTGGATCTCATTCTAGGGTTCAATAACTCAGTGTCTTCCAAATAAAATCAAATAAAATTGAATAAAAAATCTAAGATAACTGAAAAAAGTGAGGAAAAAGAAGCAATGTTTAATGGTTTGAAGTAGAAGTTAGATATTAGATAAATGGCATGTAACTCAGGATTCCTAATATTTGCTTCTTACAATCCCCAATATTGCTTTCACCACAATCTCATTTAATTCATTCAATATACATTATGGTTACAGTAGCATAAATCAATATGTGCCTGAATCTTTTGGTTCTGCAGGCAAAAGCAGTTAATAGCTACCAGAACAAGAAGAATAAAAACTAATATATTTGTCTGTCACATTTGTATCCCGCTCTTCATTTAAGAATCACAGGATACTGCTCATGAAATTTAGTTGTTCCATTTTATCCTGTATACAGCCTTGACAGTTAGGGTCAGCCAAGGTGGGCACAGTGGGGCCAATGGATCACCCATAGATCCCCCAGGAACCCACCTCAGCCCCCACAGCATTATTTTTAAAGTATGATTTTTTTCTGTTCCTTTTTCAGATTCTGAGGACTCTACAAGTCACCAAAAAGCCACCCAATAAAGTGAAAATGGATATCCAGACAGTTGTGTTTCTTTTTAAAATCATATGTTTGGGGCCATTTCCAGACCTGGTGTGGCCTGCTATGGAGGGCAAGGGAGAATAATTGACCCATAAGCCTATCCAGGTTTCCTACTTCAGTGTCAGGCTACAAAACAGTAATCCTGCACACTTTGTGGCTAAGTGGATTTAAAACTTATCCATTGCTAGAAAAGGACTGCCACTTTTTAAAAATCAGGACACTTGGACATGATTGCTGGTAGATGCTGGTATCATTTGAGTGGTGTAATGTGGTAGATTCCAGTTGGAGTAATGGCCAAAGTTTCTTCCTTTCTATTCTTTTTAAAAATTTCAGTGGCTGATGCTGGCATATATCAATATTCATTGATATAATACAATAAATGTAATGCGGTGTTAATAGTTTTGAAGAGGACAGTTCCATGCTATATGAAATGTATTTCAAAATGTGAAACAGGAGAATCAAGAAATTCAGGGGTGAGGAATGGAAGCAGATGTTGAAAAAAAAAGGAAGTAATCCATGGTTCTTTCAGTCAAACTTACTGAGATTACGTCCAGGTTAACCAGCTTTGTAAAATGTTTATACTGTGTATTGAGCGACTGTATGCACAAGTGAGCTCAAGAACCTCTACAGATGTGAATGCATAGTTGCCATGTTCCTGTGCACCACCCACCCTGCCTCCTTTGGTTCAACAGAACAAACATGAAATCATGTGCTGGAATAAGCTTGACAGGCTTCTCTCTTTTAATATACATTTCAGCTAGACAAAGGAAGGGGAAAATGAATTTGTTTTGAGATTGTTAGAGTCATTGAAAGAGAAAGCATGCATTACTTGAGAAATGAGCACATTCATGTAGATCGTGATAGAAAGATAAAGCATGCACTGCCTGAGAAATCTGTGAATTCATAAGCCTTGTGATAAAGTTTTTTAAAAGATAAAAGACTCAAAAACACTTTCATTTGGGGTGGGGGAATACAAATTTATTCAATGGGGAGGGAATACAGAAAAATATTTCTATTGGAACAAATATAAAACATGGTTTGTATTCCTCTCAATGTATACCTGCGAGAGATCTGCTGATGGACTTTTCTCTGTGTCCTAGCAGTAGAGGCAATGCATTCTTTTGTGACATGGGAAGGGCCCTTTTCTGGTGTGACACCCTGGTTTTAGCATGTATTTCCCATGGAATAATGATTAGCAGTAGGTTACATGGAAGAAGCTTCCCTGAGTAATGTTAGGACTGTGAACACCCTCTGGCATCCCCTGATCAAAGGCAGTACCCTCTGGACAGATCCTTCCACTCCAGAAGTACCAGTGTATTGCTTCTGACAGTGATGAAGAACATGATTGACAGCAATATTGGCTTCATTTTAGCCACAAACTAAAATGTGGCTCTGTGCTTCAGTCTTTGGGGCTGAAGGATCTGGCTGTGGAGTTCTAATTAAATTGCAAATGGCTTCAGATACTCAACCTTCTTTATGTTTTAAAGCTGGCTGAATAGCCCAGTGGTTTAGTTATCTGGCTGAGGATCCAGAGGTTGGGAGTTCAATTTCCCATTGTGTCTCCTGGGAGAAAAGCCAGCCTATGCAGCCAAGGGCAAGCTGTTGAGTTTCAGAAGAAGGAACTGGCAAACCTCTTCTGTGTATTCCCTTTCTAGAAAACCCTGAAAAGGATTTCCATAAACCAGAATTGACTTGATGGCACACATTTCTTATTATGTATTTTAAACAATTTTAAACAATTTTAAATTGGCTAATCTATTTACATTGTAACCCACACTGAGATCTTTTGAAATAGGACAGGATTAATATTGCTTTAGAATGAATGTTTTAAAAAATCTAGTTGGTTGAGGAGAAGGTTTCCCTTTTAGGATAGTAGTGAAGGCCTGTGCTTTCTCTTGGATCCTAAAATCTCAATTTCCCTAATGTCCATTTTACGCTAACCTAAAAACAGTATAGAAAGAAAAGCAATGGCTAAAATCCTGTTGTGCAGCTCTGCTGGCAGAATAGTGATGACAGCAGCAGCAGCAGCAAATTGCAGCAGATTAAAGGCTTCTTCAGGCAACTCCAGGGTGCCTACAACTTTGTTGCTGTTTTGTGTGGGTCATGTGCACCCCAAAAGTTCCTTTAAGCAGTGGCCATTTACCTTTAATGAGCAGCATCCTCATCATTGATGATGATGCCATCTGCACTGTACAACAGGATTTCATCCACTGTGGTTTATCCTCACCTCCATTTTGCCTGCAAAGAGTATGAAACTGAAAAGAGTAGGCTTCCCCAAAACTGTGTTTTGCAGGGTTGTACGAGTATGCTGAAAATGCCAGGGGAAAAAAAGGTCAGTGGGCAAGGGATTATAGCTAAAATTCATTGTTCTCTCTTGTGCACACATTATTTTGAAAAGAGATAGAAAATCTTCCTCCTTTAGCTTGCCCTGAAAGAGGTGAAACCTTTGTAAGCATTTCAATCCTATGAATTTAAAAGACTCAAGAGCTGCATCCAGTTGTTCAATAAAAAAAATCCGGTTAACCTATGAACAGAAAGAGATCAGACTATCCTCTTCCCTTGCAAGCTACACTTGAAGAGGGAACCCATCAATATCTGTGGAGGCTCTCAATGCCATCAGAAACCTGAAAAGTCAGGGTTCCTGGTCACATGGAGATCGGCCACACGTACAGGCTGCCCTCCTTTTCAGATTTAACTCTCTACAAAGAAGAGGTGAAACAGAAGGGGGCAGAGTGACCTTGCACCCTTTGCAAGATTTAGCCTTTTGTTCCATGCCTGAATAAAGCTAAAGGAATTGTGTGTGTGTTTAATGAAAATGTTCAATGTGAGCACTTACACCAATGTTTCAGGTTGCCTTTGCCACCATCTCCCCTTACCTTGAGACATGACTGACAGGAGCAAATTGTTAGATACTTCTAAGGCCTGAGCAGTTGTGTGTGTGTGTGTTTTATGAAAATGTTCAGTGTGAGCACTTACACCAAAGTTTCAGGTTGCCTTTTCACCATTTTCTCTTACCTTGAGACATGACTGACAGGAGTAAATTGTTAGATACTTCTAAGGCCTGAGCAGGATCCTTTCCCTGCTTCATATGAGGTAATCAGTTATAGAATGCCTGATGGAAAATGTGCTATATATATTATTTCCATCAGGATGAAGCCCTAACCCCAAGACTAAGACTCTTTGGGAATCAGTCCTAGAATATATTCTCAGTCCCAGGTCCCAGAACTGGGACTATATGAAGTATGCAGGAGGTTTCTTGTATCCCCTCTGTCCAAGCCGGCTGGATAACTCAGTGAGTTAGGCATCTGGCTATGGTGTCAGTGGGTGGGAGCTGAATTCCCCACTGTACATGCCAGAAGGACCAGCCTGTGTGACCATGGGCAAGCTGCACAGTTCCGGGTGCATCCAGAAGAAGGGAATGGTAACCACTATGGATGGGGGTATTCATATTTGTATATGAATATGAACATCCCTACGCATCTGGACTTAACAAGGGTCTGGCCTCTGGAGCCAGATCATCCACTCATGCATTCGGTAGTGGCAGCCCCACTCATCCTTCCAATTGTGTCAGGAGCGCCTCTCTCTTCCCACTTGGCTGGCCATTTCAGGCTGGGGAAAGGAGGACAAGTCTCCCTGCACTGCTGCTGAGTGGCCAGTTGAGCAGGAAGAGAACGGCACTCCAGATGGGATTGGAAAGATGAGCGGGGCTGCCACCACCACTTGACACATGAGTGGACAGTCCAGCCCCAGGGACTTGACCTTCATTAAGTCCAGTTGTGTGGAGATATTCATATTTGTATACAAATATAGATGCCCTCATCTCTAGTAGCCACTTCTGAATAATCTCTACCTAGAAAACCCTGGAAAGGGTCTCCATAAGTCAGAATTGATTTGAAGCACAACTCTTTCCACAATTCTGAATATGGGGATCAGGGAAAAGTCTTTTCCATCACAAAGGTTTTCACTGCACCAAGTTTGAATTGCCTCCCCTTCCTTGAAACCAAGCACTGAATCCATAGCATTTTATTAAGGAATATACGAAAGAAAGAAAGAAAGAAAGAAAGAAAGAAAGAAAGAAAGAAAGAAAGAAAGAAAGAAAGAAAGAAAGAAAGAAAAGATGGGTCCCTGCCCAAAGGAGCTTGCAGAATAAATGTGGGGACAGGGGAAACAACAATGAAAAGTGGGGGGAGGGGAGCAGAAGAATAAAATGAAGAATGTGTGATAATGAAAATAGGAATGAATTTGTGCAGATGCAGTCATGCATAATTTGGCCTTCTGGTATTTATCATTGACAATTAAATGCAAATACTCATTGGAAATGGTGCCATGCCAAATCTGATTGTTCTGCCAGAATATTTTCCCACTCATACACAAACATAGCAATTTTATTTTCCTTGGTATAATTGTTGTCATTTTTCTAGGAACAAAGGATATGTGCAAATTAAGACTGTGTGTGCCTAATTACTAGGATTTATTCAAGTCTATTATTATTATGAGTGGCAATTTGTTTTAATATGCATTGAATCTGTTAAAAACAACACCTTTCTACTTATACATTGTTTCAACTTCAAGTATCCACCATACAGTGATGGCTTTGGAATCAAGCAGCCTAATTCATTGCTAATTATTATCTTCTGCTTTTAATGGATATTTATTGTTCTTGATATGCCTGTATTCAAGTGATACCTATTCCATCAGCAATACTGGGGGGGGGGGAAGCAATCAGAGAATGCTGAGACATGCTTATAATTAGGCTAAGTGTTCAAAGCATTCCACTGAAGGAAGCAATTTGCAAATTGAGCTAAAACAAAAGGAGAAAAATGTGGTGATGGGAGAGGGGTAGGCAGGCAAAATCTAAGCAGCCTGCTTTGAATTAATAAATCAGGCCCTGTTTGAAACATAGAACCACATGGCCAGGGAAGAAGACATGATTGCTTCTCTCACACAACCAGGATTATCTCAAACAAACAAAAATGGGGGAGTGGGGAGTGAAAGAGTTTGGGTAACAAATTTTAATACAGCATTTATATAATAAAAGCTCAAGATGGATATTAAAAAGAACAGCAAAAAACATTACTTCACAATTAGGAAGTCTAAAGTACCAAATACAAGCAAAATTATAATGCAGATAAAACACAAACTCCATAACATGAACCCATATTTATACATTTTGTACAGCCATACATCTCAGCACATAAAATGTACCTCTTGCTCCTTTCCAGTCCCAAGTGATGAAATTTTGCGTGGAATTTGACTCCAGATGTAGATTTCTGAAATGGATTAAGAAAGGATTTACTGCACACCTTCTTGTTTTTACCAAGGCCATATACCATCTTTTATGTAATACTTATGAAAAGACATCTAACTGGTGACCTTTACCAAAGCATGTGATTATCAATGCATTACTTTAATCATGCGTTTGTGTGAAGGGATTATTTATCATCATCCACAGATTATGATAATGAAAGATGATATACTTGCTCAGTATTACAGTTACTAGGTCTGCAGCTTTCCATTCCTTGAGACTTCAGGGCCAAAACCCGAGATCAGGAGGCAGAGCTTTGTGATGTCACAGAGGAAGGGCCTTTGAGTTATAACTGTAAAATAATGTGTGTGTATGTGTGTGTGTGTGTGTGTGTGTGTGTGAGAGAGAGAGAGAGAGAGAGAGGCCAAAGTGAGACAAACTATGAGAATTTGCTGTACTACCTTCTAAACAAGACGAAGACCTTCATATTGAGTAAGTGAAGATTGTAGCCATTTGAGAGTAAGGAAGACATTGGTACTTGGGCATTAAAGCCAACACAAATAATGACATCAGCCTTCACCCCCTGAAGTCCATATTCCTGCTTGGAGATCAAAGGCAGTTCTGACAGAGGCTGGTGATTCCAGCATCAGGGGGCTGTGAATCCACTCTTGAGTTTTAGCTGGCACTTTATAAGAGATATCGAAACTGCTTATCCCATTTGTAGGATAGGATAGAGAACCTCTGAGAATTTCCATAAAATGCAGACTAAAACCCAAAGTAGATTAATGACCTCCTGTAACCAGAGTCACCACTAGCCATTACTGGGCAATCTTTTGACACTTTAGTCAGCATTCTGAGACCTAGTAACATTCTCAGTATATTTTGGACACTATCTCTTTACATTCTGTAGTGTATCTGCAGGAGTTGACAACCTGGTGTCCTTCAGATGTTTTGAGTCACATGTTTCTTAATCCCTTGCCTTTGGCCATGCTAACTGGGGATTCTGGGAGTTGTAGTCCAAAGCACCTGGAGGATACTGTTTGCCTGTTCCTAAACCCAATGTTTAGCAAAGTGTAAGTGGCAGGGGTTTTTCCCTTGTTCTACCATTGAGTTACTCGCTTCTATAGTCCAAAACAGACCTCCATAATGTCTGTTTTTCAGAACATGGTGTGGTGGAAACCCCTCCCCAAATCTCCTAACTAATATGGTCAGTAAACTCGCTGGGTGTGGGATTCTGCCTGAAAAGGTAGCTTTCACAAGCTCCAGTGATTTCCCCATCTTCAAAGCTGAACACAAAGCAGCAGCCATCCATATCTGCCAGATCACGATGATTTAACAGCCCCTGTTAAGGTCACACACATAGTTGGTGGCTGCTTATCCAGTCTTTCCACAATGCTCATTAATTCTTTTTCATTTTTACCCCCAAAACTTCTTTTTCTCTCTGGTTAAATATTCTCTGTAAACTGGGAATCTGTGTTCTTCTCACACATGCTACAGAATACATTGCCAGTGCAAACTCTGTGAAGGCTACCAGTATGAAACCTTAAAATCCCATCTTAAAAGCTCCCAACGTCTGTCCAAGAAATGGGTGCTGCCATACAATATGCTGCCTGAGTTACAGAGAGTGAATCAATAAGCTCAAACTTTTCACTCTTCAAGGCAAACTTGGGATCTCTGCAGGAGTCCCTGGTAACACAGAGAGACCTAAAGCTTCAAGAAAAGTAACAGAACTCATAGTGGTAAAGGATTTTCCCCCCTCCAGCATTCTAAGTGATTTCATATCATTTTCTTCCCCTCCACGTCTTTCCCTTTGTTTTGATGCTTGCTATTTCAGTCTTTCCAGAGAGAATGATGGTTCTGCATACAAACAGAAAGAATGGAGATTCTCCATCTACTCCTGTCACTGGCCTGCTATGAACAATGTGGAGTGTTTAAACTTAAACATGTAAGTCAAAATCATGTTGCATAGTTATGCCAGTGGAACGACAATGGTTTAACCTGCAGCAGCAAATTTCCAGTAATTCATGAGACCCACTTGGATTCTTAGTCATGTGTCAAGCCACCCAAGTGACACACACTGAGGAATCCACTGTGCCATGTACCACTGCCTTTCCATTGGTGTAAATATGCAACAGGAGTTTAGCCACTGAGACTGCTCTTGTGAGAATGAGCCACAAGAGAAAAAACATATTTACTTTCAGATTTGCTCCTTTACTCATGGAAAAATTCATTTGAAGGATGGAGGGCACTCTCCGTGCTTTTGTCTGAAAAAAGTAAACTTTGCAACCTCCATTTCTAAACATATTGGAATCTAGCACACTAGAACCCAGATTTAATTTAGAAACAATGCTCTTTCTCTTAAGAATTCCAAGCAGCCTTGAACAAGTTGGGTAGCCCTTCATGTAAATATGGTGGGCAGCAATGGGCTCCATGTGTCTTCCAGGTTCTCAGTGTAGCTTAATATAGCTACTGTACCCAATTATGGCTATTAGCCCAGAACACAGGCACCAAAAGTCATCTCTGTGTCTTTATTTTTTGACCAACTGCCTTCAGAAAGCAAATCTAAGCTTATTCAGAAGGGATTTTTCCCTGGATGTCCAGAATGCCCCACTATATATAGAAAAGGAAGGTCAACACATAGAAAAGATTCACTATCTGTCTCCAACTTTCCTGCAGGACAGTGGTTCCCAACCTTGGATTCTCTAATGTTCTTGGACTACAGCTCCCAGAAATCCTTTCCACCACAGCTACTGGTGAAGCCTTCTTGGAGCTATAGTCCAAGAACATCTGTATACCCAGTGTGGGAAATAACGGCTATAGGTGAAAGAATTAACAGGCCAAGGCAATAGACGTGCTATGGTCTGTTTCTCTCTATTTCCCTTTCTCCCTCCTCTCCTGCCCCCCCCCCATGTTTTGCAGTCAAAAGAGAATAACTTGTTGGCCTCTGAGTTCTGTTGGATTGAAAGAGTGTATCTGTTACTGATGATGATGACCATTGCAGTCCAACATATGAAGGGCTACAAGTTAACTACATTTGTGCCCTGCTTTACAATTGCCCCATTTAACAACAAATCCGCTCGACGGTGAGGTTTTTGCGATCGCTTTTACGATCACAAAACGATGGTTTGAATGCGGTTTCCCCGCTTTGTGATGATCGGTTCCCTGCTTAGGGAACCGATTGTCGGGTTTTCAAAATGGCCACCAGGTGTACAAAATGGCGCCCCGCTCTGTTTAGGGGCCATTTTTCACTTTACAGGCACCCGGAAATGGCCGCACCTATTGAGGATCTTCACTGGACGGTGAATTTTCAGCCCATTGGAACACATTGAGGGGTTTTCAAAGCATTTCAATGGGTTTTTTAGTTTTGTTTGACAACGTTTTCGCTCTACAGCGATTTCACTGGAATGAATTAACGTCGTCAAGCGAGGCACCACTGTACCTGTGTTTTAAGTTTACATGAATGTCTCCATTGGACTTCATCCAAGTTTTAAACTGTTGTGAGGTTGAAAGAAAGAAAGAAAGAAAGAAAGAAAGAAAGAAAGAAAGAAAGAAAGAAAGAAAGAAAGAAAGAAAGAAAAAGAAAGAAAGAAAGAGAGAGAGAAAGAAAGAAAGAAAGAAAGAAAGAAAGAAAGAAAGAAAGAAAGAAAGAAAGAAAGAAAGAAAGAAAGAAAGATACAATTGAGATGTATGTGAGATGTATGTGAGATGGCAGCCTGCTGTCTATTCTCCTGGTGCCTGCCTTTTCAGGATCATCAGGGTCTCAAAGGCAAGTCCCTCCTGGGCTCTCTGACCAATCAAGAAAGCTGAAGTAGGAACAGATGTGAGGAATCAGCTGCACATTCCCACACTAGAATGATTTACATCTCAATACATTTCATAGAATGAGATGGAGTCACAATCAATCCAGCCACAAGGGAGAAGCATCAATTTTGTAAACACGGAGACCAGAAAAAGGAAGCTTGGATAAAATATTTCTGAACAGATTGTGCCATTACAATCACTGTTCATATTTTCAAGATGAGTGCTGGGCAAAATTTCTCAGAATGTTTTTTAAAAAAAAACTAAAGGAGGGTGTTTTATTTTTTCGCTTTGGGAAATCTCCTCATGAATCCCAAACTGCTAGAGATTTTCAGCCCAACTCCCCAAATAATCAGAGAATAGACATCTTATTTTCCAATTTCCATATGCAATGGTGAATTTCAAGTTCAGTTCTGAGAACAAGCTAAATTTTCTTTAGTGTTACTTAGGTAATGAATGCAATTGGGCTTGGCGAAGGCTTAGAAAAATTCCTCTTCTGGACTGTGACTTCCAGAATCCTCTAGTTAGTGTACTGAAAGCTGGTAGTCCAGAAAGTAGCAAATCCAAATGCAGAGCTCAGCCCATACTCTTTCCAGTTATTTTCTCTCCACCCATTGTTTCTCCACTCAAACCAATATAGTTTCATTCAATATTAATGAGGTGAAAATTTTCCTCCCCACCTCCCCCCTTTTTTTTTGGAGTGTTAGATGATATTCCCCCACACACACACCTCTTGCCACCCACAAAAACAAAGCAGTTTTGCTGGGCCCTTTTTAAAAAGGTAAATGTTCCCCTTGACATTTAGTCCAGTCATGTCTGACTCTAGGGCACGGTGCTCATCCCCGTCTCCAAGCCGTAGAGCCAGCGTTTGTCCTTATGCAGTTTCCGTGGTCACGTGGCCAGCGCGACTGGACACGGAACACTGTTACTTTCCCACCATGGTATTACCTATTTATCTACTTGCATTTACATGCTTTCAAACTGCAGTCCTAAACTACCATCTGAAAATGTATTTATTTGCTGTTAGGCTGAGTAAAATAAAACAATGGAAAATGAAGTGATGACTGTAGAAACATTCAGGTATCATGTAATCAATTAAAAATAATTATAAAGTGTACCCACCGAAAGAAGAGTCAGTTTCCCCCCCCCCTGCAATTTTGCTCTAATTTTCCTTAGCCACATCTGGCTGGATAGTTCAGTTGACTATGTGGCTTCAGAACCAGAGGTCAGGGATTTGATTCACTGCTGTGTCTCATGAGACATGAGCCACTCCATTTAGCCAGAACTGGGACGATTTACCCATACCCAAGACTCTGTTTTGCACAGAACATTTTAAGAAGTATTTAAGACTACTGTCTACTGTAAGAAGACCATAGGATTTATCAGAAGTGCTCCATGTGGGGAACCACTGAATTGCTGCTCTCATTCCTTTCAGTCAGGGCAAAAATCATGATAGTCCAGAATCGTCTGGGCCCAG